ATTTAAAGTGGAAGAGAGGACATTGTCAGCTCTCCAGTGGCTGTACTCACCCTACCAACACCGCATTGCTAACCGCACAGAAGGGCAGTCACCAGACAGGTACAAGCGTGCTCATTAACACCTTCGTGCGCACACACATACACAAGCAGATTCACACACACACACACACACACACACACACACACACACACTGACCCACGCAAAAAAACAAAAACATTTAAGCATGCACACACTTATATACACATGCACACAAATATCATACAGCCCTACAATGGAAGACTGCAGTATCTGCAATAGGTTAACATATACCAGCGGCGTGCCGTCGGGTGTTCTGAGGGCCTTCAGTAACCGCACCCTTTACCGCTCGATTTCCCTCAAGCTGTTCTCCTTTAAGTTCGTCTGATTAACAATCATACAATTTATCAACTGAACAACCAAGACCAATAAAAATGATAATGAAGAAGTGAATGCCTATTGCCTGTATTTATATACACTGGAAGGATGGCAATATAAATGCAAAAAATCAAAAACTTTAGCTGACCTCACAGCATTTCTTTTCGCCATCTTACAATTGTCACTCAGCTCGGCACCGTGCCTAACAACCCCCTTTAGCCGTGACTACATTCAGAATTTAGAATGGATTCTCGCGGCGTATTGCTTAATGAGCCTCGCAAACCAATTTACACAAATCTGAGCTGTTTCACGAGCTACATCAGAGCAGAAATCATAAAGACATATTGATATTTTAAGTCGCCATTTATGTGTGGAAGAAAACGCCAAATAATTTTGTGGTGCAATGTATTACAATGCTATCAAAAATAAATTTGACTGTCATTCAAGCAATTAGTCTGAGCAACTGTTGCTAATCCAGAAAAGTAATCTGCGAGAGGTTTAGGTTATTACATATTGAAAGGTGAGGTGTCTGAAGGCCTCCGTTTCTGCCGACGGACCGCCTCTGACATATACAGATACTGCAGCCTTCCATTGTAGGGCAGTATATCAACAATTATACAGTATATTTGTTCAAGGAATGTACAGCAGCCTCACAGTGTAGTGGAAATGTGCTCTCTGGGGGTATTTACTGGCAGGAAAGCATATATGTAGTGAAATGCGTGTGCGCATGAGTCAGTGTGCTTCCGCATTTTTCCGCATGTTTGCATGCATTTGCGTGCGTACGGCCGAACACTTACAGAACTGGCGGTGCACTTATAGCGGGGGTTTCCTTGGTAACCTGGAAAGATCGGCACCAGTTGAGGCTCGCAAACTGCATGGAGAGCCAGAGTGTCGGTGTCGCATCACTTAATGAGGGAGAGCGTTTCGCTGATAAACAAGGCTATGTTTAAAACGCGGCGCGGCATCAGCGGGGGGGTTCAGATGAAGGGGACCCTGCAGGCATGGCCGTGTGTAGTATGTGCCCCCCGTACCTCTCTGATGGGGGGGGGCAGGGTTTGTGAGGGGGGTTGTAGAGTGGGCTTGGAGGCTCGGCACCGTTGACTTGGAGCAGAAGAGAAAATCAATGCTGACAAACACATTCTGACTCGGGGCTGGCTACAGAACTGAAGGGGTTAACTGCGTATGGATGGAGCCGCTGATCTGTGGACCGATTACTGCGCAGTCCGGGCTGGCTGGGCTCTTATGACTGTGTGTTTGTGGCACTGAGACACAGTGCATCACTATAGTGTGGCCACGTTTCTATGAGTGCAGATTTGTGCATTTGGTTGCGCTTGGATGTGGTGTGTGTGCCTGTGTGCGGTATGAGTGTGTGTGCCTTTGGGTACGCATTTGTATACATGCTTGTCCAAATGTGTGTGTATGTCTGTCCTTTTGAGGCTGTGTGTGTATGTGTGTGTGTGTGTGTGTGTGTGTTTGTACATGTGTGTTGCAAGTCTGTTTGTGTGCATATCTTTGTGTGTGTTTGTGCAGCTGGGTGTATGTCTGTGTGTGTGAGTGTTTGTTTGTGTGAATGTGTGTGTGTGTGTGTGTGTGTGTTTAAATGCTTATGCATGTGCCCCCTGGCCCACATTGCAGGGACATTAACTCTCCCGGGTGAGTATCAGATCCAGCTCTCTAACCCCATTATGTCATCTGTAAGGCACAGGGGCCCCTAGACACCAAACCCAGCCCTGAGGGGCCGATTCCTCGCCCTGTCCCCCCCCACCCCTGACCCGCAGCCACGCCCCCAACGCGTCCTCCCGTTCACCCCCTCGTTCTGCTGTCACTCTCTCTCATCCTCAACATCCATCCCCCTCCCTCCCTATCCCAGCCCCTCTCCCTCTCTCTCTCTCCCCCTCCCTCTCCACCCCTCCAACTCTCTCCCTCTCTCTCACTCACTCTCTCTCGCACACGACACCGCCACCTCTCCTCCTCGCCTGCGTCTCTGTACCGCCGAGGCCGTAATTCGCACAGAAATGTTTACTCATTCCGTCTCGGCGAGCAAAGATCCCCCCGGAGCCTTCAGGTAAGGCGCCAAACGCGGAGCGAGTAAGCGCTGCGCGGAGATGCGCGACTCCTTTGCCTCTCTGGGTTTGGGAGTGGTCCGCGTAAGTTTACGCTTGCACTTCGCTAAACTGTTGCTGCGCCTGTTGGTGCAATGTGGTCGAGCAAAAGGCTGAGTTGTGACTGGAGATGTGATTTTTTTTTTTCTTTACCAGACAGCGTGTTTTTCAGGGTTGGGGAATACAGAGGTTTGTGTGTATGTGATGCCACCTGTAACTGTTTGAATATGCTGGGCTCGGCTGCCAGCGTTTGGGTCTTATGATTGTGTTTCGGCTCACTCTCTTTGAAGCACAGCATCACGATTACCCGGGCTTGTGATGATAGACTGAAAAGCAACGCGTTTGATGTACTGTGCTTTGTGTAGGTGCATTTGTGTAAGTTTGTGTATGTGTGTGTGTATCAGTGGCACAGCCAGAGCTGGACATAAGGTGGGCACAGAGCATCTCTTTCACCCAATGTTATTCCTGACTTCTTCTCAATCATTCTATTCATTAACAATACTTTTACTCCGACAACAGTCTACACTATCAGTGTTGCGAGTTCTCCTCATCTATGCCAGACAGAAAATACAACGCACAATTTATGGACATGCCATTTGGTGCATTTCAATCTGCGTTATTCAAAATTGTATAAAGGTGTTTCAAATATGCGACCCTGCAGCACCAAACCAGTCATATGGGTCCATTTTCCAAATATGAGTTTTTGGGCTCATATTAAATGCCCTTTCAGAAGAGCCCAAAAACTCATATTTGAAAAATTGACCCATGTGACTGGTTTGGTGCTGGAGGGTCACATATTTGTTTTCTTTAGTTTAAATAATCATGAATTGCAGTTATATCACCTGCGCATTGGCTCTTCAGTAGTTCACGTTTTTTCGTCAGGTTAACGTTGTAGGTAAATTATTTTTTTTAATTGAATTTAGCCTGTGATTTAATCACCCTGAAATTGCATTAAGAGAGAGGCTGTGTCTTTAATTGCCGATGGATTATTCTTATAATTGGAGAATGTTTTAATAAAGAGAAATAACTGAGAACAGGTCAGGACTCATAATCGGTTTAAAGGGATGTTTTTTTTTTTTCCATTGTTTTCAGCGCTGCCTTTTCTACTGGTCTGTGTGTGTGTGTGTGTGTGCACGCACGCGCGTGTGTGCATATGTGTTTGTATTTGTGTGTTCACGTACATGTATGTGTGTGCATATTTGTGTGTGTGTGTGTATGTGTGTGTGTGTGTGTGTCTGTTTGTGTACATGTGATCATTTCTGTATGCATGTGCATTTTTGTGTGTGCATGCGAGTCTTTACTTGTGTTTACATCTGTACTTGAGCCTGATTATCGTGTCTGTGTTGAAATATAAAAGGATATAATATCAAACTATTTCACACAGGGACAGACATGCTTTCCGAGCTGAACTGGAGAGAAAGCGGAGGGAATCCAATGATTTCAGCCAGTCAGTTTTAACATTAAACTGCATGTGTTGATTGTGCCACAGTTGACTGTGTCTCACTTGCATTGTTACGCGTGTGGAAATCTCCGCCATGGTTTTTTTTTTTTTTTTTGCATACGTACGCATTCAGCATAGAACTAAATCAACTGAAGCCGTCCTGGCTGGTATCAGGTGCAGAAGACAGAGGACTCGCATCGCCCTGCAGTTTAATGGAGACCATCCTTTATCCTTTAAAGGGTGCTTTCTTCGTTCTCGAGATGCATTTCTTTGATGAACTGTGCAATAAGCTGCTGCCTAATGCGTCCCTCTCTGCTCAGAGTCCCTCTCAGACGGCGCTAATTCTGCAGACAGAGTGCAGATGTTCCCTCTCTGATCATCCGCAGGTCTCTCCCATGGACTGTTTGTGTTGTAGAGTAATGGTATGGTAACTCCTTTTTAAAGCCCACAGACCATTAGCCTGATCTTGATTGAAGTAGAGCCCCCCCCCCAGTGACTGTATATCCTCTCCCTATTTCCCGCAATTTGACTCTTAAACTAGTCTGTCTTCTCCCTTTCTGCATTTCTTTTTTCTTTTACTTTTTCACATCCTTCTCCCTTAGGGTGTTCCCTCTCTCTCTCTCTCTCTCTCTCTCCGATTAACCGCCCCGTGTTTTGTCGTGCTGTCACTGTGTTTACGAGCCTCTTAATTTCCTGATCCCATCCACCCTCCTCCCCTCTCCTTTCCCTTTCCCTCCAGCTCTCTCTCTCTCTTTCATTCCTTTCCTCTCTGTTTCCTCCTCTTCTTTTTATTCCCTCCATTCTACTCTCTATGCCTCTTTTTCTACTCCACCCCAATACCCCATTTTAACTCTTTGTTAAGCGCATCACTCTGTCACACGTCTCCTTGTGTCCTGCGTCAGGGGCTCCCCAAATTGCGGTCCTCGAGGGCTGAGCACTGCTGCTTTTCCACCCTCCCCTTTGCCCGGGAGTCGGGTGTGATGACAGTCTGGCCAATCAGTGGCAATAATTGTGCACTTTATTGCTGGGAAATAAAGAAAGCCAGGGCTGGATTTGGATTAGAGGCCCAGATTTGGCGCAGTGGTTAGCACTGCTACCTCACGACAAGAAGGGCGAGGGTTCAAATCCGGCGTTGGGCCTCACTATGTAGCTTTTGCATGTTCTCTCCGTGTTCGGGTGGGTGTCCTCCAGGTACTCCAGTTTCCCCCACCCACAAAAACATGCATTATTGGAACACTCCCCTGACCAAGGTACTGGCTTTAGAACTGGAGTTGGTCCCCGGGCGCTGCTCTGTGGCTGCCCACTGCTCCCAACTATAGGATGGGTCAAATGCAGAGGACAAGATTAACCCACGGGGTTCAATGAAAGTGTATGTTTTGTCAAAAGATCTGGGCAGCCCTCTCCGACACAACCCTCCTTTCATCAATAAATGGGGACTCTGATGTCGAGTCATACAAGCTGAGGGGCTGTGGCCTCTCACTCATCGTCCTGCTCTGCCTCTCTCAGTCCCTGTTTCAGAGTGCTTGGCTTTAGCTTAGCTAATGCCCTGGCCCTGACCAGGTGTTTGCCTGGTCCACTGCGTCCCAGCGGTGTAATAGTTCAGGACTAATAGTTGTTTTGAAGCAGGGGTGTCAAACTGGACTGTCAAAGGGCCGAGGGGCTGCAGGTTTTCAATCCAACCGAGCAGAAGCACACCTGATACAACTAATTCAATCAATCTCAGCCTGCACTGTCAATCAGTTGTATCAGGTGAGCTTCTGCTCGGTTTGAATGAAAACCTGCAGCCTCTTGGCCCTTTTTTACAAACCAGCTTGACTCCCCTGTTTTAAAAGGATGTTCTCCACCCCCCACCCCCCATTTTCAGTTCTGGCTACTCCACTGCTCCGTCCTGCCCTTCGCCAAGGACCACAGGACTGTGCGTCGTCCTCCGACGAGAAGGGCCAGGCAGCGCGCGAGTAAAGCACGAGGATACGGCCAACGTGTTTCTTTTAATTTATGTTTTTATGCCCTACGATGTGCAGAGCGCTCAATGCGGAGGTGGGGGTGGGGAGAGAGAATCGATGGCGAACGTCGCGAGGGGGAAACGTATGCCAGGTGTGGGGGCGTGCGATCGGGAGAGAGTGGGCGTAAGAGCGCACGCTCTGTCACGTACAATCTGCTTAAGACTTGCAGATGCTGTTAAAATGGCACTGTGGGATGGTGAGATGCACAAAGAAAACAGACTGAATTGCGGGGTGGGGGGGGGGGGGTGGGTTGGGCAATTAATAAAAATCATATCAAGGTCTGGAAATGAGGAATATTTATTTATAGCTTTATTTTACTAAATTGGTCGGCTGATTTTTCAATGTTGACTTGGAAAATCAAAGGGAGCCAATCAGTCAAATGCGAGGAAAGGTCAGGTGATCATATAGAGTGTATTTTCTGGAAATTTGGCCAGGTTTGTTGACCATGTCTGCACCCCTGCTCTTTTTAAAGACACCAGTACTACATTAACCACAGTCAGAACCCGCTGTCGCCTGTACAGCACAATGCCTCCATTTTTGTGCCAAGGCTCTGAGTTTATTTTTGGTATTGAGGGAACAGCGCCCCCTACTGTGTGAGCAGTGTACCTTCCAATGGCAACATTGTTGCCCCTGGAGACACCTACCACTACCTGAGTCCAGACCTTGTTAAATACGCCATTTATCAAAGAACAGAGTACAAGGCGGGCATTTAGATGAAACAAATTTGTATTTGTGAGATGAGAATTGGACAGAAAAAGAGGAACGGTGAGAGAGGAGGGAATGCAGGGCAAGATCAGTGCAAGTAAGAGAGCAAGCGACAGCGCCAGATGGATGAGCAGAGGTGATGTGGAGACAGTTTCGCAAGAGAGACAGATGAAGTTTGAGATATTGTCGCATTTAAATGGCAGAGTAAGTGAGTCGTACGTTGACATATGAGTCATGCCCTCACGCCGTTTCGCTGCTTCGCTCTTCATTAATGGCAGCGAGAATCATGCTCAAAACGACGAACGATATGACCTCATTAGTTCCCCGTGAGTGTTCCGTTGTTTCCCGAACCGCATAAAGCAGCGTGACATCCTCTCCAACATCCCTCTACCGACGTTTGATGATCTCTTTAGCTCTATATTCATTTTCAGTAATCAGCATGCACACTTGTCAAACAATGAATTAGTGCCATTGTGGACTATCATTGTAACATACACTTGACAGAAAAAAGTCTCCCAAGAAGAAGACAGAGAAAGAATCATGTTTTAGAAAATTAACCGTTGAGTTTGAATTGTTTAAACACGGGAAAAAATATTGTGGTTGAAAGAGACTTGCAAACAGCAGTCCCATCCCTGAGAGTTTGATGGTGATAATGCATACTGTCAGGCCCATGAATATTTGGACATTGACAAAGTCATTGCTATTTTATCTCTCTGTGTATTGGAGTTGAAATTAAATAATAAATATTATCTTAAAGGGTCAACTTTAAATTTTAATGTGAGGATATTTATACCCAAAGTAGACACAGTGTTGGAATTATTGCTCTTTCTTTACATGGTCCCACCATTTTAAGGGACCAAAAGTAATTGGACAATTGGCTGGACTGCTGTTCCACAGCCTGCTGTGTGTTATTACCACATTCCATTTGCAAGTAAGCAGATAAAATATCAGGAGCTGATTTTATGTAAGACCTTTGCACTTGCCAAATTGATTATTTGGTTCATATTTAGTATACTCAGGAACACCAAGAGGCCCAGAAAACCAGATTAACAATATTGGCAGATAACAGAATTATTTCCCTGGAGCAGAAAAAATGTTTCACAACAGTTCAGCAGATCTAGAAAACCAACCAGGAGGTTGATGCATGTTTTTCAAAGTCAACAATTGTGAGAAGACAGGGTAAATACAAAGGGTTAACCATGAGATGTAAATGGGTACCAGTCTCAAATAGGGAGTTTGCCAAAGAAAAAAAAACCCTCTGAAAAGCCTGTAAAATTTTGGATCAACCTAATACAGACAGATGAGACAGATCTTGTGCCAGAATGTTGAGAATAGTATGGATGAGGAAGGAACAGCTCATGATCTAAAGCATTCCAGCTTATCTGTGAACAGTGGTCATGTGTGGGCATGTATGGCTACCAGAGGAACTGGCTCCCATGTATTTATTGATGATGTCACTGTTGGCTTCAAGTAGCAGGATGAATTTTGAATTGTATTGGCCTTTTTATCAGCAGAGATTCAGTCAAATATTTCAAAACTCATCAGATGCCCCTTCATAGTGCTGATGGACAGTGACCCAAAGCATTTGGCAAAAACAGCCATAAAGCAAGGCAATCTTAAGGCAAAGAAGTGGAGTAAGCTACAATGGCCGAGTCATGATGCCCGTAATCGACATGAGTGTGCATTCCATTTGCTGGAGGCAAAAGTGAAGGCAAAACGCCTCAAGAACATTCAGGAAGTGAGGACAGTTGCAGTGAAGGCCTCATTAAGCATCACCAAGGAAGAAACTCAGCCTCTGGTAATATTTAAAGGTTGAAGACTTCAGGCTGTCATTGATTGCAAAGGATTTGCACCCAATTATTAAAATAATTAATTGACGATCGCTAGTCTTGGATTTGAGGTGACCATCTGCTGTAGTTTTGAAAGCAAAATCTTTTCCCGGTCACCCTTTAGATGAAGTGTTGCTCATAAAGGCTTTATGCAGCATCAGTATAATGCCTTCATAAATGAGACATAATGTCTTCATAAATCATACATAATCAAATGTCATTCTTTGTAAAGGGTGACATAACACATCCTTATTCAGCTTGTGATGCCAGATGTGATGTATTTGACAATGTCACTTAGCTAGTGGCTAAATGCTATAAAGGGTGACACTGTCAGCTAAGTGACATTGTCATTGTCATATCTGGTATCACATGCTGAATAAGGATGTGTTATTTCATCCTTTACAAAGCATGACATTTGCTTATTTATGATTTATGAAGACATTATGTCTCATTTATTAAGGCATTATGCATGTTGTATAAAGCCTTTATGAGCAACACTTCATCTAAAGTATGACCATTTTCCCATTCTTGCTTTATGTAGGATTTCAGCTGCTCAATGCTTTGTGGCCTCCTTTGTCATATTTTTCATTTCATAATGTGCCGAATATGTTTCCATGGATGGGCAGTCTGGACTGCAGGAAGGTGAGTTCAGCACCCAGACTCTTTTACTACAGAGTAATTCTGTTGTAATACATGCAGAATGTGGTGTGGCATTGTCTTGCTGAAGTAAGCAAACCCTCTCAGAAAAAAAAACGTTGTCTGGATGGCCGCATATGTTCCTCCAAAACCTCAATATCATTCAGCATTAATCAAGAAAACCACAAAGTGCTCGTGCGAGTAGCAAAAGAGTGAAATAGAAAAGTTGGTGCTCTTGGGTCTCTTGGAAAAAGATATCTCAGTCCAGAAAAAAAAATGAGATCCAGGTACTCAAACCGTTTCGAAGTAATGCAAATAAAAAGCATTAGCATCGGCATTAATGTTGTTTTCAGAGATGTCCAAGTTACCTACAGTATGCCAGGTGTACTAACGCACCCTTGCACCATAATGGATGCTGGCTTTTGTAGTTCTGATAACAAGCTGAATTGTCCATCTCCTTTCTAGCCCAGAGGACTCGGCGAGCATGATTTCAAAAACAAATTTCACATTTTGATTCATCAGACCACAGGACAGTTTTCTACCTCGGTCCATCTTTAATGAGCTTGGGCCCAGAGAAGGCAGCAGTGATTCTGGATCTTGTTTATATATAGTTTTATCTTTATATGGTATATCTTGAAAGTGTACCTATTCAGTGACTTTTCATCATTCTTATATTTTTCAAGTCTACTAAAAACGTTTAAATGCGTCTTTGTAAAAAAAAAAAAAAACACTTGTTTTCTCATGCTGGCCATTTCTGCAGTAGCCTACCTGTCTGTGAAATGCTGTGTTGGGCTCCTGCCCCCCCCCCGATAACCCCGCTGTGCTGCGATTGGTCAACTTGATCACTCACATGTGATTGGTCCACCGTTTGCGCGCGTCAGAAATGTCACGCCCCTTACCATAAATGGATTTCTGCTCCAGAGAGTAAATGAGCTTTAGAAACAAATACTGGTGTAGCCATGTAGG